AAGTGACTGGTTAGGGCTTGGTTAGGTACTGGTTAGGTCTTGGTTAGGACTTAGGGTGCGGATACTTGATTCGGTGTGTTTTGCATTGGAGATTGTTGGTAACCCATTGGTATAGGGTGTTGAGTTTATTAGTAGCCGGAGATTTAAATAGTAAATAATAGAAAAAATGTTAGAGGATGCGTGAAAGGAAATATTAAATTTATTTGTTTCGATTTTATTTTCTTGAATGTGGTGCCAGTGTGTTGCTGAGGTTGTGCTGATTGAAACAAGTCCAAATACGGTGGGAATCGGAGTAGTTTCACGAATTTAATGTAATTTTCGGAATTAAAAGCTCGTTTCCATGAATGGGTAAAAGTAGACCGATTCATGTCGTGTTTGGACTCATTTTAATCAGAAAAATCTCAACATTCCATTAGTGGTATGGTTGAGAAGGTAACGTTAAGTGCAATGAAAGAAATTTCTGTTGCAGGAATTTTAATGTTACCTTCTCAATTCTAGTGTCAGTGGATTGCTGAGATTGTCCCAGTTAAAACGAGCCCAAACACGGTGGGAATTGGAGTAGTTTCACGAATTTAATGTAATTTTTGGAATTAAAGGCTCGTTTCCATGAATGGGTAAAAGTAGACCGATTTATGTCGTGTTTGGGCTCATTTTAATCGGAAAAATCTCGACAGTTGATGCAGTTGAGAGGGTAAAATCAGTACATAAATTTGTTGCAAAGCTGTTATTAATATATAAATTTATTGTTAAATTCCGATGAGTTGCAAGACACGTGTCAATTATATTACGAGAAACTGTCCTTTTCTTAAATTAAATTGAAATCGGTGTGTAAGTGAATAGATACAAGTTTCTTAGGTTCTTTAAGGTAGAGGTTAAGACGGAGTTAGATTCCTCTCTATAATTCTGCAAGTATTCAGATTCAACAAGGATGGGAGTCAAGTCAGCTGCGTATACATTATGAGTGCCGAAAGTTTTTCTAATACGGAATGAATTTCAGATTTTAGAATAACTTTTGAATCATCGCAAACATTATGTTATCTGATAAAATATTGTTCATACCACTTCCCATATGACGTTTGTTTATAACCTAACAAGGGAAACTATCATAGCAATTAATATAATAAAGCACAGTGAATTGAAATTACACGTTCTTGTTAAATTTATGATTTACTGATCTTATATCTTGAGATATACAATATTTATTGACATTTTATTATTCATATTTTGTTTAAAGTCTTGAATGTTTGAAACCTGAAAATATAGCCTGTCCAGTCGAACGTCACATATAATATAAATTAATTTTAAATTTATTTATAATGATATTTATATTTTATTATGATACTTTGTAAATGTCAAATATGTTCACATTATTTTCAAACGCTACCTACGTCAGAACTAACCACATTTATATTCATCTGTTTTTATTTTCCTTAATAGCAGCATCAATAAATAAATAAAATGAAAAAAAGAAGATAAAGCATATATTTCATATCACATTAGGCACCCACCCCGTGAATTAGAGGTAATTCCGTTGGCGATCGTCGCGAAAGGAAATCGTCTAAATTACTCGCGCGAAATTCCGCGGCGTCCACGAGCAAACTAACTCGCATCAGACCGTGACGCGTCCATCGTGAAAAAGTCATCGTTATTTGTCACGGACCGCTAAGCGATTGCTCGTGTGTGGAAAGTGCACGTCGCATTCCGCAAGTTGCCTCCTCGCTGCTGGAAGCAAATAGGATGGGATGACAAAGTGGACTTTTTGGTAGACGTGTTTACATGGCCGGACATGATGCAAATATGTGGCCGGTGACTTTATTTGGCGATAAGCCTTAATCGCTTCTATCGTTCCGTGAGTTTCTTGTAAAAATGTTATTGTTGCTCTCATATTTCGTTGTCGCGTCGTTTCTTTTTCCACGTTGTTGAATACGTACACACGTACCGTCCAATGCAGGGAACCTGACTTTCGTAACGTCATGTGGGCGGAGATAGTCGATCGGAAGCCCCACCTACCCCACTCCTCAACTCCGAAAAATCCAATCGCGAGTCCGGAGAATGCGCTCCGCCCTTCCTGACGTGCTATCCGACTAATGGGTGTGAGTGCAGTATCGAATTAGCACTAGTAGTGTCATAGGGGCGGAGTCAGACGCTCGGTAGGCCCGCCTACCGGCCAATCGCGAGTCCGGAGGAGACGCTCCGCCTTCCCTGACGTACTAGCCGACTAGTGGGCGTGAGCGTCACGGCCAATTAGCACTAATAACGTCATAGGGGCGGAGTCAGACGCTCGGTTGACCCGCCTACCGACCAATCGCGACTCCGGAGGATGTTCTACTGCTCCCTGACGTGGTAGCCGACTAGTAGGCGTGAGTGCAATGACGAACCAGCGCACGCGACGTCATAGGGGCGGAATCAGACGCTCGGTAGGCCCGCCTACCCGCCTCCACAGCAGCGAGACATCCAATCGCGAATCTGTAGGAGACACTCTCCACTTTATGTTGCGCGAACTGGACAGTAGGCCTGAGCTTAGAATCTGACCACTGAGACCACAGTGCGAAGTCATATATTACCTTAAATTATATTACATTATAATATTTCATTAATAGTGTCAGTTATAAACAAAGATTTCACTGGTTTCAATATTCATATTTTACACAGGCACAAACCCATTACCCAAAACTAACTTTCCAAAATGTCAATTATAGAAATAGGAAGCACTCGAAGTACAGAAACCAATTTTCCTAAAAAAACAAGACCATAATTAAATCTTAACTACCCCAAAAACTCAAGTTTCATAGAAATTCTGTCTGCCCCCCTTCGCACGGCAAAAGGAGCAACCAAAGAAACATAATCTAAAACAATGATAAAGCACAGAGACGCCGCGGAAGCAATAAAACCTCGGCAGGACGCGTTTCGGTAAGCGCAATAATTTAAATCCAGGCTTCAATGAGTTCTCACGGTGAGCCCCGTGATTATTGATCCGGCGAATGGCGTCCTTTTATTATTCATACGCCGTGTTTCGCGGGCAAATTAACGAGTTCGCGGCGGGAGAGTGTCTTCCGTCGGACACGTCTTCCGACGGTGGAATATGCACACGCCTACAACCCACAAGCAGTTTATTTCTCAAAATTTAAGTCCATTTTCCAAAAAAATCAAATTATTCCTAATAACGGTTACAATTCTAAATAACTTTTTAATTTTCTGATGGTTTTTTGATCTTCTTTATTAGCTTATTCTGGTCTGGATATACCGAGTGGAATAGAGGTAGGAAGTTAAACATAAACACGCAAAGAAGAAAATTTCAATTGCAGTCATGTTAATGTTAGCTTCTCGAATGTAGTGCCAGTGAATTCCCGAGACTGTTCTCATTAAAATGAGTCCAAACACGATGCGAATCGGACTAGTTTCATCGATTCGGTGCAAACGAACCTTTAATTTTGTTAATTTTGTTAATTCGGTAAAAGTAGTCCGATTTGCTTGCAACAACTTCAACGTTACCTTCTTAAATGTAGTCCCAGTGAATTCCTGAGACTGTCCTAAATGAAATATGTCCAAACACGACGAAAATCGTACTACTTTCACCGGCTTAACGAAATTAATAAAATTAAAGGTTCGTTTCCACCGAATCAACGAACCTAAACCGATTCCCGCCGTGTTTGGGCTCATTTTAATCAGGAAAACTTCAGCAATCCACCAGTACCACAATGTGACAGTTATCTTTAGTTTCTTCGGGCATTCGTTATAGTGTTCTATGCTACAGTGAAATTTAACCGAGCAAACAATGGAGGGACTTATTATTGACTTAAACCACTTTCAAAACGAATGTTGGCTCGTTCGCGGCACAAGTTCCCATCGGACGCCATCTTTGCGTGGATTACCGTGTCTTTCGGGACTCCTGTTGTCGCCTGGGTCATATTATCGCGGGAAATCAATTGTTACGGGCACGCGGTTGGCCGAATGCGACCCAGTTTGTAACCGGTAGGGAAGATTGCGCCGGCGAAACGAGAGCTCACTTGCCAGCAATTTTCCTGACAAGTTATAATCTTTCTGGACGCGTGCGGCCCCGCGATAAGCCTAACCGACGACACGGGAAGCGAATTTTACGATCGGAACACCCCTTAACCAGGCACGCCGCGTTTAAAGCTACTCTTTAACCGTAAAATATGTTTCCTACAAATTGCGACCCCTCGAGATCATCGATACCGTCCTACCCTTTCTTTTCTTCTTCGAACACG